GCAATATGCTGACTCTCTGTAAACCGCTTAGAGAGGCCTGAAAGGCCTATGAAGCGGTATATAAGTCTACTGCTATTGCTATTGCTATTACCTACCTACCTACCTACCTACTGAGTATTAAATTAGAAAAAAGAACAAGTGAAAGAAGCAATGAAGGTTTGGGCTAAAAACTTTGGTTATCCGATAGAAGAAGGATGACTAACCTTTTTGTTCTCGACTAACTTTTTTGTTCTCACATGCCGAAAGTCTGTCCGCGCATGCACCTATAATGCAATACGTGTGCAACCCCCCGCACACTCCAACCTATGCATTCACGACCACCCCATGTGCACCCCACCTCTGCACATGTGCGCATGCGCTCCCCTGCCTCATCCCCCCGTGCATGCACGCACGATCCCTTTCTCCCTTTCCCTCTCTTTTTCTCCTCCTCTCTCTTTTTCTCCCTCTCTCTTTCTTCCCCCCTCTCTCTCCCTCTCTCCTTCTCTTTCTACCTTTCTCTTTCTCTCTCCCCCTCTCTCTCTTTCTCTTTCTCCCTCTCTCTCTTTCTCCCTCCCATGCCATAGGTTCGCCATCACTACGATAGAACTAGCTAAATGGCAGCCACGATGGGAGAGAAATTATAAATTAACAATGTCAACTGCATATACAAAGAGAATTTTGATAGGACGTTTTATAGATGGCATTGGCGGAGACGTTTAAAGCCAAATCAGCTAAATGTTGGAAATGCCACCAAACACCAGGCTTCTACTATCATCTGTGGTCGACCTGCACAGAAGTTAAAAAAAATTTTTTTTGATCTAAAATACATAGGTGGCTGGAAAAACAACAACACAACAGCATATTGACTTAAAACCTAAAATATTTTTGTCCGGGGATTTGGCCAGAAAAAGTATAGCAAAGAAAATGTATATTTGATTATTCGTGTTGTTATAACAGCAGCTAGGATTGTATTGGCACAAAATGGGGAAAGTGAAGAGATCCCTGCAGAGGAGAAGGTGATTAGGAAAATATTGGAATGTGCAGAAACGAACAAATTGTCATTAGCTAGCAAAGAGGAAGGGAAAAAAACCCGATTATTATACAATTTGGGGATCTTTTTGCCGGTGGTTAGAGAACAGACGTGAGAATTAATAGTAAAAGAAGTTATCTAAAGCAGTGTTTGTCAACCTTGTCAACTTGAAGATGTCCGGATTTCAACTCCCAGAATCCCCCAGCCAGCGAATGCTGGCTGGGGGATTCTGGGAGTTG